CCAGTTCCTGCTGCCAGCAGTCACACTTGCCTAGTGTTTGCCAAAAATTCCATCTGCTGTCTATTCTCAGTTTCTTCACAGTTCAGTGGCGTGTTCATTATCTTCGGGAACAAAAGCAAAAAAAAAAAACCTCGAATTACCTTCGTATGTATAGTTTAACAATGAATTGGATTTAGCTGGTTAAGTTTGTCAAGTATTATTGATACATCAGGCACTGTACATATGTTAGGGTAGAGCATCATCTTTTCCACTGAAATATTTTTGGAAACCTTTTTGCTACTGTGCTGAGAAAAGGTGTGCAGTTTTTCCTTTTAAAGGAGATCTACCAGTAAGTTAAAACTTTTATTCATCAAGCATTTATTATATTATAAAATATATTGTTAAAAGCCAATTTATGTTGAAACATTTATTTATTATTATTATTGACTTTTTAAAAATACATATTTTTAATTTTAAAATTGTGGGGTACAGTTAAGGGTTAGATATACAAATTTACATTGTGCAGGTACCCTTGTTGATAAGGGGTGTCCCCCCGTCCACAGACAGATATTGACTACTGTTAATCCTTCCCCTCCCTGCCCCCCCCACGTAGTTTCCCACCACTGTCAATTCTTTTCTTCTTTTTTATTTTTTTTGAGTTGGAGTCTCACTCTGTCACCCAGACTGGAGTGCAGTGGCTGGAACTACAGGCGCACGCTACCACACCTGGCTAATTTTTTGATTTATTGTAGAGATGAGGTCTCGCCAAGTTGCCCAGGCAGGTCTCGAACCTGCAGGCTCAGGCAATCCACTCACCTCGGCCTCCCAAAGTGCGGGATTGCAGGCTGAGCCACCGAGCCCGGCTAATCTTTTCTTATAGTATTACAAGGTCCACTTATGAGTGAAAACATGGGATACTCAGATCTTTGTTTCTGTGAGAGATCACTCAGTATTATAAACTTGAATACCATCCAGGTTGCTGTGAAATTCATCATTTTGTTCTTTTTTATGGTTGCGTAATATTCCATTGTGTATAGGTACCACATTTTTTTAATCCAGTCGTCTTTTGATGGACAGCATGATTGGTTCCATAATCTTGCTATTTTGAACAATGCTGCGATAAACATACATGTGCAGGTATCTTTTTTATAGAGTGATTTGAGTTCTTCAGGGTATATTCCCAGTAGGGGGTTTGTGGGATCATATGAAAGGTCGATTTTTAGAACTTTTAGGAATTGCCACACTGATTTCCACAGAGGCTGCACTAGTTAATACTCCCACCAATAGTGTAGTAGTGTTCCCTTTTCACCACATCCTCTCCAGCAGCTGTTATTTTTTGAGTTTTGATAATGGTCATTCTGGCTGGAGTTAGGTGGTATCTCCATGTAGTTGCATATCCTTGATGACTAGTGAAATTGAAAATTTCTTGATGTATCTGTTGGCCCCTCGTATGTCCTCTTTTGAGAAGTGTCTGTTCATGTCTTTTGTCCACTTTGTAATGGGGTTGTTTGATTTTTTTCTTTTCAGCATGTTTGAGTTCTTTGTAGATCCTAGATGTTAGGCCTTTGTCAGACATGGAGTTGGCAACTACTTTTTTCCCAGTCTGTGACTGTCTCCCTGCTCTCTTGATGGTTTCTTTGGCTTTGCAGAAGCTTGTCAGTTTAATGAGGTCGCACTTGTCTATCTTATCTCTTATGACCCGTGCATTTTGTTTTTTGCTCAGGAATTGGATGCCATTTCCAACTTCCATGAGGGTGTGTCCTATGTTTTCTAAAGTTTTTATGGTTTGAGGTTTTACATTTAGGTCTCTGATTCATTTAGAGTTAATTTTTGTGTATGGGGATAGATAGGGGTCTTGATGAATTTTCTGCATGTGGTAAGCCAGTTTTTCAAGCACATTTACTGAATAGATTGTCCTCCAGGGGTGGGTGGTGGAGACTTTGTCGAAGATGAGTTGGTTGAGAAATTGAGGTTTTGCTTCTGGAATCTCAATTCTATTCCATTGCTCTATATGCCTGTTCATGTACCAATACCAGGCTGTTTTGATTATTGTAGCTTTATAGTAAAGTTTAAAGTCTGGTAGTGTGATACCTCCTGCTTTGTTTTTTGCTGAGGATTGTTCTGGCTATTCTTGGTCATTTGTGTTTCCGTATGAATTCCTGTATTGTTTTTTCTTGATCTGAGAAGAATGTTGCTGGTAATTTGATGGGTATTGCATTAAATCTGTAGATTGCCTTAGGTAGGATGGACATCTTCACAATGTTGATTCTTCCAATTCATGAACATGAGACATTTTTCCACTTGTTTGTGTCATCTTTGATTTCTTTGAGCAATGTTTTGTAGTTTTCATTGTAAAGGTCTTTCATGTTTCTGGTTCGGAAGATGCCAAGGTATTTCATTTTTTTTGAGGCTATTGTGAATGGAATTGTGCTTTTTATTTGGGTTTTTGTTTATTATTGGTGTAAAGAAATGCAATTGTCTTCTGCACATTTATTTTATATCCTGAGATTTTACCAAAGTCCTTTATCAGTGCAAGGAGGTTTTTGACAGATTCTCTTGGGTTTTCAAGGTACACAATCATGTTGTCTGCAAAGAGAGATAACTTGACTTCCTCTTTTCCTATTTGGATACCCCTGATCACCTTCTCTTTTCTGATTGCTCTAGCCAGGACTTCCAATACTATATTGAACAGGAGGGGTGAGAGTGGGCATCCTTGTCTTGTTCCAATTTTCAGGGGAAATGGATCCAATTTTTGTCCGTTTAGGAGTATGCTGGCTGTGGGTTTCTTGTAGATGGCTTTTACTATTTTGAGGTATGTTCCACTTATGCCTAGATGTTCGAGGGTTTTTATCAAGAAGGGGTGCTGGATTTTATCAAAAGCTTTTTCTGCATCTAATGATATAATCATGTGGTTTTTGTTTTGACATCTATCGATGAATTTAATTACATTTATGGTTTTATGAATGTTGAACCAGTCTTGCGTCCCAGAGATGAAGCCTACTTGGTCATGATGGATGATTTTTGAGATGTGTTGTTGAATCTGGTTTGCTAGGATCTTGTTGAGAATTTTAGCATCTCTGTTCATTGAGATATTGACCTGTAGTTCTCTTTCTTTGTTGGGTCTTTACCTGGCTTGGGGATCAATGTGATGTTAGCTTCATTAAATGATTTGGGGAGAGTTCCATCTTTCTCAATTGCCTGGAATACTTTCAATAAGATTGATATCAGCTCCTCCTTAAATGTCTTATAGAATTCTGCTGGAAAGTCATCTGGTTCAGGGTTTTTTTTTTTTATTACATAGTCAGTTTCCTTGATTGTTATTGGTCTATTTAGGGTCTCGATTTCTTCCTCTTTCAAACTAGGCAGGTTGTGTGATGTCAGAAAGTCTTTCATTTCCTTAAGGTTTTCAAGTTTGTTTCCATACAAGTGTACATAGTAGTCTCTAATGATCTTTTGTATTACTTCAGGGTCAGATGTGACCTCATCTTTTATGTTTCTGATTTTATTTGGGCTTTTTCTCTCTTTTTCTTGGTCAATCTAGCTAGGGGACCGTCAATCTTGTTTATCCTTTCAAAGAACCAGCTTTTTGTTTCATTGATTTTTGTATTATCTTTTTGTCTTCTATGTCCCGGATTTGGGCTTTTATTTTGGTGATGTGGATTCTTCTGGTGAAGTTAGGGTTTTGGTGGTCTTTCTTTTCCAGCTTCCTTAGGTGACTTGTTAGGCTGTTAATTTGTGATCCTTCAATTTTCTTCATGTGCGTTTGTAGAGATATGAATTCCCCTCTTACTACAGCTTTCATGGCATCCCAGAGATTTTGGTAAGATGTTTCTTCATTTTCATTTGTTTCCAGGTATCTTTTAATCTGTTTTGATTTCATCATTGACCCGGGAGTTATTTAGCATCATGCTGTTTAGTGTCCATGTCTTTGTGGGTTTTGGTGGAACCTTGTTGGTGCTGATGTTTATTTTTACTCCACTGTGGTCCAAAAAGGTCCATGGCAAAATTTCGATCTTTTGAAATATGTTTATGCTTGATTTATGACCCAGTATGTGGTCGATCTTAGAGTACGTTCCATGTGGTGATGAGTAGAATGCATATTCTGTGGTTGTTGGGTGGAGTGTTCTGTAGGTATCAATTAAGTCCATTTGGTCAAGAGTCACATTGAGGTTCTGGATCTCGTTGCTGATTTTTTTGTCCTGATGATCTGTCTAGGGTTGTGAGTGGGGTATTAAAGTCCCCAGCCATGATAGTGTTGGAGTCAATATCTTTTTTGAGTTTACCTAGAAGCTGCTTTATGAAAGTTGGTGCTCCTATGTTCGGTGCATATATGTTTAGGATGGATATTTCTTGTTGATGGATTGAACATTTTATCATTATGTAGTGGCCTTCTGAATCTTTTTAAATTTTTGATAGCTTAAGGGGTATTTTGTCTGAGGTTAAGATCATGACTCCTCCTTTCTTTTGTGTTCTGTTCACCTGAAATGTTGCTTCCCATCCTCTTACTTTGTCTGTGAGTGTCCTTTCTGGTGAGATGAATCTCTTGAAGGCAATAAATTGTTTCCTGGTGATATTTTATCCATTTTGCCATTCTGTGTCTTTTCAGTGGTGCATTTAGTCCATTCACATTCAGGCTAATTATTGAAATGTGAGAGTTGATCCCTATCTGAGATTCTTATAGAGTTGTTGTTGCTCCTGTTTGTTTGTTGTCTTTTTTTTTTGGTTTTGGGGTTGGTTCATGTGTGTTTTTAATCTTTTTCCTGTACTCTTGTGAAGAACATTGTTGTTCTTTTTTCCTTTTCTTCTGTATTCAATACTTTCTTAAGTGCTTCTTGTAGAGTGGTCTGGTGGCAGCGTAAATTCTTAGGGAGTTGATATTTGGTAAAGACTTCACTCTCCCTACTGATGAAGCTTAGCTTGGCTGGGTAGGTTATTCTTGGTTGAAAATGTTTATCTTTTAGAACTTTGAAGATAGGATTAGGGTTAGGGTTAGTTTTTAAAGTAAATGACTTTTTTTTAAAAGGGGGAAACAATCTGAAAAAGTAAAGTTTAATTTAAAAGTCATATACAAAATATAACTTATTGTGCATTTTAAGTTTTCTAACTGGGTCTTTCATAGGCAAGTCAGTTTCCCTTTGAGTCCAGGCTGGATAAAGATGCACTCACATTGGACAGAGAGCCAGACCCTCAACAGGTGAACAATAGCAACTGCTACTCATGCTTGAACAATGTCCGTGACCTGAGTGGTTAGGCAGTCAGGCTGGCTTCTTGCGAGGTTCAGAAGGCCAGTTTCTTCATCAGCAGATAAACTCTGGAATCCACCTCAAATCCATGCAGGTTGTTGGCATCCCCTTGCAACCTCATGAGCAGGCCCCCATAGGACACGTAGGCAGAGAGACGTGTTGCTGCTTCAGTAGAAGTTTTCCCTCCCTCGATCCTGTATACTTTCCCATACATTACATACTCAAATTGGTCAGCCCTGGAAGGCCTATCATCAATGGGGTTGTATTCACCATCATCAAGGGTACCATCTTCATACAAGGTACTAGCTATGACCAGCCAGAACTTGCCATCCAGGTCTACAGGGTAAATCTGAATATTTACATTTAAGATGAGATCCATCTTGAAGGATTCACTCTCACAATGTAGTCGAGACACTCGGTCAAATTTCTTGCCCTCCGGGTCAATATCGTTCACATTGAAAATATCCTCAAAGAGGATACCCGCCATTGTGAGGGGACCACGAGAACAGCAGAAGGACTGAACGCAAACCCCCTCGCATGGAGAAAAGTAGAGAGGAGGAAAGGCAGCGCCTGCTGGCCGGCAGCAAAAGAGCTATGTTGAAACATGCCGGAGTCCAGCTCCAGTCAGGTTCAGGGTACCCCAAAGGTGGAGATGGCATCGGTGATTGGGGGAAGAAGAAAGAGAGAGAGAGAGAGAGAGAGAGAGAGAGAGAGAAAGAGACTGGACTCCAGTCTAGTGCTGAAGTGATGTGTGTTATTGGGAATTACAACGGGTCTTTTATACACAAAGTCAGATGTGGGAGGGGCATCCCCCACCCACCAGAAACCTTAATCCATGAAAACTTAATCAATGATTGCCTTTAAACCCTTTTCATATGATAATCTTAAAATCCCATAACAAAGGATAACCTAATCTGTGACTGACATATTCTATAAACCTTTTTCATCCTAAGCTGATTGATTTATGCCAAGCTAAACAATTCTATAGAAGCTTAAGTATTTACTTTACAAATGAAAGTGGCCCATCCCAGAATGTTTGGAATGTGACCCAGTCCAAAGTTCACAGTGGACTACCTGCAAGTAACCCAGCCACATTCTTTCAACAAAATGGCTGCCTTCTAAAACTATATTCTACAATTTACACCTTCAATAAATTCTAAGATCATGACCCAGAAGCCTGTGACCAATACTAAGGCTCTTAGATGTGACACGAGTTTGAATTATAAGTTGTGTGAAAGCCAAAACTGCAGTTTGTGGAAGAATCAGAGCAATGAGCTTCTAAAGTTAGCTTGTGTTCGTCCTGATCTCAGAGTTTCTATGTTTTGAGCTCACAGGAGCTTAATCTAGTTAGTGCTGAGTAGAAAGGGGGAGGAAATGGGGTCAATAGCTCCCAAACGCATCCTAGTGGTCCTCGGGGTCAATGGCCCTTCCTGATCCCTAATGCTCAGTGGGCCTCCCTGGCTGGCTCCCAACAGAAACATTTAAAACAAGGATAGTAGCCTACTGGATTAGTACATTAGGAAAAATAAAATGTCCATTTCTTTGTATATAATAGTCACTGGTCATCTTTTATTTTGGTAACAAAATCTACTGAATTTTTTCATCACTCTGAAAATCTGGAAAAAGAAGTCTTCTGTAACATCCAGATTATCTAGAAATAATATAATTTCTACTATTGTCGTGTTTTTTTAAAAAATTAGATATTGAATTCTAAACATTTTCTTCTTTTTCTGTTAAATCAGTGTCTCATTCTGTTGCCCAGGCTGGAGTGCACATGATCACGATGATCATGGCTCATGGCAGCCTTGACGTCCTGGGCTCAGGTGATCCTTTCGTTTCAGCCTCACAGGTGCATGCCACCATGCCCAGCTCGTTTTTTGTTTTTATTTTATTTTTATTTTTCATAAAGACAAGTTCTCATTATGTTGCCTAGCTGGTCTTGAACTCCTGGACTCAAGCAATCTTCCTGCCTTGGCCTCCCAAAGCACTGGGATTATAGGCATGAGCCACTGCACCAAGCCCTTGACTATTTTTAGTAGCCTATATGGTCTAGTTTGTTTTAAACTCACCTAAGTATGAAAGAGACAGGGCACACATTAGAGTATTGATTTTTGAATTTGTTGTCATAGACAAAAACAGGATTCCTATGATACTGAGTCTTACAAAGCTATTTTGGTGTTCATGGTGGTGCTATATATAAAGGTAAAAAACTGGTAGCAACCCAAACAATCAATAATATGAGAATAGTTAATTAAATAAGCCAGATACAGTACTTAGTCTGTTGTATACATTTTAAAAATGATAAGTAGGAAGGTGGGAAGACAACATAAAAATGCTTATGATAAACATAAGCTTAAGTGGAAAAGGCAATTTATAAAAGTATGTGTACACCATAATCACCACCACAGAAAAGCTGTATAAAGATTTGAGTGATAGGTTTATGCAAAGTTCTTTCCCTATTATAAAAACGTTTTGTAACTGTTATGTTGTCTTTCTAAATTTCAAGGGAAAGAAGTGATCTTGGGTCAGTCACTATCAAATATGATTGCAAATATTTGGCCTCTAGCAACTAGCAAAGAAATCTGAAAGCAGGGATTGTGTATAATTCAAAACCAAATATGGCATTTGAAATATTTATTTTGCAAAGGATTAAAATATTTCTACAAATATGCCTTTAAATTTACTGCACATGAAAGACAGGTATTTTCCACACTAAATGGTTTCTTTTCATTTCTCCAGTGCTCTTTATAGTTTTAGTTTGTAAGTTAATCAGTATATCCTTTCTGGAATTCTACTGGATTATCTTAAACATTTGCACAGACACCCTCTGTGGCACTTAAGGTGACCTTTGGTTTCTTATGGTCTAATTGTAAGCCTGAGGGGGCTTTACCATATGCCACTGGAAAGTTGCTTTTCCCTTGATTTCCACTATATCCCAGGTTTACAGTAAAAATGTTACTAAGGCAGTTGCTAAACTAAGGTACATGTTATTTGGTTGGATTTAACTGTGCTTCACAAAAATCTAGAACACAGTTAAATACTAAACTGTTTGATTCTAAGAAGACTTAGGTTAAGAACTTGTGTGTTAATTTGGAACATGGCCCTATTCTAATCTCTGACATGATAATCAGCATGTGTGCATGATAACCTTAACCTTCATTGGTGTCTAGGGTATTTGGAATTTATTTTCATTTTTAAGTTGTCAATTTTATAAATAATAAGAGAGACAGCGACAACCACTTCCTGGCATATCATTGCTAAGACTGAACTTTTCTGACTTCACTTGGTAGATGATTTCTCAAATGCAACAAATTTTCCCTAGCAAAGTATTTTTAAACAAATTCAATGAAATAGTAAATGGTGAGCTTCTTAAGGTCAGAGAAATAACTTTGGTTTTTGTTTCTTACCAACACTACACATGGTATCTGCTCATATGAAAGGAGTAATGAATGTCGTTGAACTGAATTATGTTGAGAAAGAATTGTCCCCTCAAAAGCATTTTGCCATCTACACTAACACCGTCCAATAGGATTTACTGAAGTGATGGACAGGTTCCCTATGTTGTGCAGTGTGGTAGTGAATAGCCATATGTACCAGTCAGGGCAATATAATGAGACTTTGTCTCTGCAAAAAAAATTACAAAAATTAGCTGGGTGTAGTGGCGCATACCTGTGGTCCAGCTACTCAGGAGGCTGAGGTGTAAGGATCGCCTGAACCCAGAAGGTTGAGGATGTGGTGAGTTGTGATCCTGCCACTGCATGCCAACCTTGGTAACAGAGTGAGACTCCAATTCAAATAAATAAATTAATAAAGCTATACACTCTTTAAAACAATAAAATAAAAAATGAATATGTGCTATGCACTCTGCTGGATGTTAGGGATACAAAAATAAGCAAGACAGGTTCCTTCCCACAAGCGAATTATATATTCTTTAGTAGGGGGGAAAAGGTTAGTAAGTGCGGTCATAAAGGAAGAAATCACAGGTGATCTCTGGGAGGATCTCAGGGTGCCATGAGCCATAAAAAAATGAGCAGGCATTTCCAGGTAAACAAAGGAAGGAAGGCATTTGTTATAGGTTGAATTATGGCCTCTTCCTCCCATTCATATGCTGAAGTCCTAACCTCCGGTACTTAGGATGGATGCCTTATTTGGAAATAGGATTATCACAGACATAAGATCATACTAGAGTAAGGTTGACCCCATAGCCAATATGGCTGGTGTCCTCATAAAAAGGGAAAATCTGGACACACCCCACCACACACATACACACATACACAGAGGGAGAACACCATGTGAAGACTGGAAGATCTTCTGGATGCTGCCACAAGCCAAGAGCCTACCGGAAGCTAGGAGTGAGGTCTGGAACAGAGCCTCCCTTAGCACCTTCATAGGGAGCATGGCCCCGCCAATACCTTGATCGCAGACTTCTGGCCTCCAGAACTGTGGAATGATAAATTTTTGTTTTTTAAGCTTAGTTTACGGTACTTTATTTCAAAAGCACTAGTGAATGAATACACCATTCCAGATCAAGGAAGTAGTATTGTGAAAGCAAAGCCAAAAAGCTATGGAAGGTATTCATTAAAGTTCTGTTTTGTGATTACTTAACCTAGAAATTTTAGAAGGAGAAAAGGAAAGCAAGCATCATTCTGAATATAAAAATTTTCTTATAAATGTTTTTCTACTCTTAAAAGCTAAGTCTGTAGTAATGTTTAGGGGTGAGATTATATTTCTGCCAAAAACGTATAATGAATCAAAAAATGTTTAGTAGTCATCATCATCCTGTTAAAAGAAAGTTTTTATTTCTTAAACTTATCTCTCTACATAAAGTAGCTAAATCAATGGTAATAAGACTCCGATTCCCTACACAATCGCATGAGGAAATATATGGATTAGGGGTACATTCTCTATGCCGTACGACAACCTTGGGTGAGAGGGTTTATGAGCGGGAGCTGAGGTTGGAGTTACACACTGAGTGGCTGCAGCTGGAACCGTGTTTCTCCTGCTAGGATAGCGTTGTCATAAGGTTCAACTTCACTCCTTCAGTTATTGCTGGAATAGGAGAGATTAGGACCTGAGGGGCCAAGTCAGAGTTCAGAAGGCACCAATAACATTGTAACTCCCTGCAAAAGAACTGTCAGACTCCATGTAACCTTCTAGTATTCAGGAGTGAGAGCAGCGGAGTGCTGGGTGTTTGGTGCCATTAATCTTTTCCTTTGTGTCCCTGTAGCAGTAAGTGCCAAGTGTTAATTGATTCAGGATGTGCCAAGGACAGTGAATGATGGATGACATTAGTTCACTTACGTCATGCAAAAGTTATTCTGCAACCCATGTGAATAACAGCATGGCTCCTTAGAGAAACTAGATGCAGCCTCACAAGGCTAGAGCTTAGTGTGCATGGCAGGTGAGGGTTTGAAGGAATGTATGTAACCAAGGAGGTTGACAAGGACAAAAGAACAGCAGGTTTGCTGTGGGGATCCAGGAATAATAATGAATCACTTTGGGACATGGTGAATTT